ATTGCAACAGATGAGATCTACCATCCAACACATTGCCACATTATTTTGATATCTGGAAGGCATTTTCCAAAAAGCTATCAGCTACTTATGTCGGTTTTTTAAATCTACATTATTACAGGCAATTGAGAAAAACAATGTATAGGCCTATTATGTAAGATGATCGATAATATGCTCTCTAGGCAAGAGCAATTATGATATCCCCAGGGTAGAATAAATAGACAATAGGCCTACGGAGATACAGAGGAACTAAGAGGGCATTCCCAGAGATTTAGATCGATCTTTAGATCGACCTAACTCCCTGGGGGTTCACGCTAAATTGCAGTCAGCCGACCGCGCACGGAAGTTAATTACCCCCTTACAGCTTTTAGTAGGTGGGACAGACATTTAAACCGGTGTAACGAAACTAAGGGTCTGTGTAACAGAAGGTCCGCCCTCCATATAGTTTTAATGGTTAGGGTTAGCCTGACCTGAGTGGGTCAAATCCTAGGGCGAGGCTCACCTGTACAAATGAATGGGAAGCGGACTCCCTGTTATGGGGGACTCTGTCACGTTATACCGGCTAAGCTGACAGTCATCTAGTGAGACTCCCCACGGGGATAGATCGATCTAAAATCTCTGGGAATGCGCCCTTATTGATGTAGACCATAACTTATACAAGGTATGATCAATCTACCGACACAGACGACTGCATCTACTATACATGTGTAGGCTACTTGCAACAGATGACACTCATCAGCTTTATCAATGGGATGAGATTTTAAAATAGTGCACAAGTTAAAAATGTAAACTTGTGACAAGTAGAATCATCAGCTGGCTAACTTCAACCGGTAAAAAATTAGGCTCTAAGGTGGAAAAAATTTACTCAAAATTATAATTTTATCAATTTCAAGCCCCAGATTTTTAACACGACGTTGTTCTCTATAGTTGCTTCGGAAGCGGGCGACCAACATTGCGTTAGTTGAGCAAACGCAATCAACAAGTTTCTAAAGATTTTGAAGACAAAACCTGTGTTCTCCCAGTTGCTTGAAATTTCAATATATATTTATTTATTTATTTATTTATTTTAATATACAAAATGACATGCAACTGAATATTTCAGTTATATTTTGGTCAGTCTGGTAAAAAAAATAGCATTACTCTGGATTAAAATTTAAAAAAAATGCAGGCTGGCTAGAACAATCAATTAGACTTGGACAAATTATTTAAAGGCACACGTAAACTAGCAGCAGACTTCCCAAAGACATATGTTGGCTATTCTTTAAACTTAAGAACTTTAATGGTAAGCAAAATAGGCTTTTACGAGGAATAAAGAATATATAGGGCCTATATAATATGGGCGTTTGACCTATCAATACAACAATTTCAAAGGTGAAGAGTTTTACATTCAGAATGAATGATATTCCTTCCATACACCGTGC